AATATTCTCGGAAAAGTTAGGAGCACAACTTGGGCGTCACTCCAAGAAGTTCCCGGGTTTGATTCCACCTCCAGACAGCAAACATACGCAAAAACTCTACCCAGAAAGAGTAGAAAGGGTAGAGTTTGCCTGTTTGCCTACCCGGACACTCTTCCCAGAAAATGTAGCGTTTGTTTTTCACGTGTCTGCATACGTTTTCTCTTAGTGCTCCAGGTTCCATCACCAGTAAATACTTAGGTCTTAATGTAATGAGGGAGTGAACTGATGGTGATGGGCAGGTGTTCAAAGTGCCAGTGTATTTGTTGTCTCGATTCATCGTTGCGTGTGGAGTAAATGGAAAACTACTGTATCTGTGTTTTGGGTAACCTTAGTCTGGGAAATGTGCTGTATAAATAAACATAAATAAAGATTATGAGAATATTCAAAGGACACTATAGAGAATTTATATGCAAGTGAATACGTAAATCTGGAAAAAAGGTTTGGAGACAATTTTTCGAGATAAACTTTTCTAAAATTTAGAGAAATTCTACTTTTTTAAGCTCTTATAAGTCTTTATGTGAAATTAAATCTAAATCATTGTAGCCGCGATAATTATGACTATATGTATTTGACTGCTATTCATTATGCATCCCTAATCCAGGTATTCTACTTCATAAATATTATCGTCTAAACCAGCAATGTTTGTATCCATATCAAGAAAGACACTCATTTACCCAGTCATGGGGCCAGCACAAAGAGAATACTGACCTGTATACCCAAAGCTAGTCAACTGTCATGACCCATATTCTTACCCTAAAGCTTTTCTAAGGTACATAATATACCTTTGTGTGCTAAACATGTTAATGATTTTATTTAGTAGTTTAAACATTACTTTGGCTTCCATCTTACTTTATCACTAAGGATCTCTTATCTCATGAATTCTATTCAATACAGTAGTAGCCAATCAACAACAGTTAGCTCCTTAATGTATAAAGGAGAAACTTCCGTTCATTTATTTATGTAATTCAACTTAAAATGTGAAACCAGTACACGATAAAGACTCATTACATCCAGTGACATATGCCAAACCTTTGTTTGTTATATTTTTAATGGTTATAGCTTACAGTGTACTTTCAAAAATATTCTAATTTTACTTTTTGTGCAAGCTGTGGCCCAATTATCAACATTATAACCAATAAAGACTTATTATATTTATTTGCATGTAATGAGTCTCTCATACATTACAGACATAAATAATTATAAACATATAATTATAATTATAGCATCATTGCAAGTACAATTACTGTATAATAATACAGCAATACAGCCTAGTTCATATGATGGAACATATTGATCTGACAAAGCTGCTATGGCCACTTTCTCTTCTCCCTCTGTCAATGTGGGCCTCCCTGAGGTTTTTCACACTTTTTTATAGAATTGTCATCTACGTTTCATGTTGCATGTAAAATGTATAATAACATATTTTTACTAACCCTAACCGTGTTTACTATATGCAGACAAGCCCACATATGAATGTAGAACATAGGCAGCGGAGAAGATGACACTGCCCTTGAACTAATGCACACTTGGTTCAGTGAACACATAGTCTACTCTAGTATCTAAACGCACAAACTCATACAGTATACCATGTTTCTGCAAAATAAATCTCACAGTTTCACTTCATACTAGTTGTGGTACCAGTACTCTCTGCACCCTCTCCATGTTGATAAAACAGGCCAATGCAGATCGACCATCGCGTGTGGACAGTCAACAAAGTGCACTTACTGTACGGCAGCTGCGGTTCTGTGTTTCCCGTTCAAAACACAGCAACACGGGAATTAAACCCCACTTAACCCCCCGCATGCGCTACGTTTGGATGTTGTAGAATTCCTTTTCTTTTTTCTTTTTTACTGAGGGAGGTCTGTATTTTCTGTGAGTCTCTTCACTATTTCAGAAGGACTATATATAACAGGCTGAGACCGGCTTTGGCAGCTCGGCGCATCCATCCGCGCTCAGCAAAAAGGTGGTGCGTTTTGGGACCGCCCCGTGAAGAGGCAGCCCCCTGTCCCATCACGGTTCAGCGGCACCTGTTTTTTTAGAAGTCCTTTGTTATGGGCCACGAGCTACGATGCTAACATGACCCAACTCTTTTCAGCATTGACTGTACACTCGTGCGTAAAACGGGCGCAATTTCCGCACGATAACCAGGAATACGCACCTTCGTTTGGTCTTTCCAATAAATACAGTGATGCTACTGTACAATCTCACAGTTGTTAGTCATGTTTGAGCTCTGTGTGGATTTATTCCTCCCTTTTAGTCACTACAGAAGGGCCGTAAAAACGCAGTGACCAGGATGTAAAGCAGCTTAGCGCGCACTCACTCCCCCCATCGCCGCCTCAGATGGTCGGGTCCTCTCTCCTGACTGGAGCGACAGCTGAAGCCTCACTCAGCACAATTCATCACACGAACAAACAGGAACAAAAAGCGCGTCAGTGTACTATTTCTGCTTTATGGAGGCCTTTGGCACGGAACAAAATCAAAGAATGTGCCCGATGACTTGCTATCTGGTGAATGATGGCAGCGTCTGGTGATGAGAGAGGTACCGAGCGCAGACTGGTTAAAGGGACAGATACAGTAGAACTATTCTCATTTATACTACGGCTACTGTTTACTGTTCCGTTATTGCTTTTAAAACCTACTCACTAAAACACACTGGACACATATATAAACAGTATAATTTAAATGTGTTGTAGCATGTAGGCCTTTAACGTAAAGAGAAAAAAAAACAATGACGTTTAGAGAGATATATGTGGAAATATAGGACTCCTTTAATTAAATGCCATTCGTATACGTAGCCAGTTAATAAAGTCAATACGAAATATATAATGCACAAAAATAACAAAGGCATACAACAGTGCAGCTTGAACATAAGCTTCTTTGGAGGAACCAAGGCATTTTTTGGAAAGTTTAATTATAGCTATTTTATATTTGAGTAATAGTTGTTGTAACAGTCTTTAGTCAAGTGTATAAAACAGCAAAGCAAATGTCTCCCAAGACAGTATAAAAACACACTTAACAGTCAGGGTTGTGACGAGGACGAGTGATATAAAGCAGCAGCTCCACCCTCTGGACAAGAGCAGAAGTGCAGTTTGAAGACCCTCGGTCATTGCTATAGCATAACTCTGCTATTACTGTTTGAAGTAAACAAAAATAATATATGCATACATTTACAGTGTTTTTGTTCATATTGATACACATACATCGTGGAGTAACATACTGAAATAATACATAATACTAAAAAAGTAACGCTTGTTTTGGAGATCACATGTACTCTAACATATGAAGACTTTTGGAAGACCGACAACACACCCCACTGCTCTGATGTAGGAAGCTCAAGATAGGAATATTTCCAGTCCATTGTTCTGGGTTCTTTATTTATGAACACTGGAAAAAATATATTTCTGTCATATTGTGATGCTGCCATGGTTTTAGTTTTTGGTTAAAGCTCTGTACCACTACCACCTGTGATGTCCTAAAAACATGAATACAATTTTCATCTTTAATGAACAAAACATTTTAAGAATGTATAAATCCCAATGTAATAAGCATTTTCTTCATTAAAGGTGCATTGTGCAACTTTGTATGTGAAATTTTTTTATTTTTTATTTTTGCATATTTGACCTCATAGGAGCCGACCATCAGCTCCCTCATCAAGAAGGCCCATCAGAGGATGTACTTCCTGCGGCAGCTCAGGAAAGCCAAGCTGCCTGCACAGATGTTGGTGCAGTTCTACACGGCCATCATCGAGTCCATCCTCACCTCCTCCATCACCGTGTGGTTCGCTGGAGCCACAGTCAGGGACAAACAGAGACTACAGCGCATTGTGCACTCTGCAGCCTTCCATCGCTGCAGGACCTGTACGTCGCCCGACCTCGAAGCCGGGCTGGTCGTATCACAGCCGACCCCTCTCACCCTGCACATGGACTATTCCAACCACTCCCCTCAGGCAGGAGACTGCGGTCCATCAGGACTAGAACCTCCCGCCACAAGAACAGTTTCTTCCCCTCTGCTGTTGGACTATTGAACACTTCTTAACCTGTCCCCCGCCCTCTAGAAGTCCCCTTACTGCCTTTTATAAAGTCACTTCACTGCCCATCATACGTCACTTTACTTCACTGTACTGCGGTTACCTTACATTGTGTGCACCATGTGCACTTGTATATTGTAAATAGTAACTGTAACTCTATTTTAAATTTAAATGTATTCCTTTCTGACTGTTGCACTGAGCCAAAGACATTTCCAAGTCTGTGACTTCCTGTTACTTACGTGGCAATAAAAATGATTCTGATTCTGATTCTGATAGTGGCCGCACTGTTTGAGTGGTCAGCATTGCACCTTTACCTGAGGCCATAGTCATCCAAGAGATAACAACAATTGATCCTGAAGAGCTGGAGACACAACCATGATCAAAAATAAAGGTACGATACTGAGCACTCCTAACTCTGGGTCAAATATGCAAGAAGATAATTATTTTGTCTGTGAAAAAAAATAAAGTTTAAGTCTTATATTATGCTTACATGATGTATTTACATATTCAGGCTTTTCACAGTCCAAACAACTAGTCAATTAATCAAAAAGCATAATCACTAAATGAACTAGAAAAGCACTCGTAGAGCACAGAACTCTGCCTTCCAAATCCTCAAAGAAAAAATAAGACAACCTCCAATATTGAATCAGTAATTCACTGGGTCATTGTGCATGTTTCCAGAGAATCTTGTCCAAATTCTCCCGTAACTTTTTGCATTATAATACTGATAGACAAACAATCAACAATGGGGTTGTCTATAGATAGGGGAGGGTACTGTACAACTGTAAAGCCTAAAACTAAGCAATATTCATTATGGATTTTGTACAAAAAAATACCAAATACTGAATAAAATGAAAAATGTGCATATTTCATATTTTACAAGAGGCATTGGCGGCAGCAGGCACTACGGCTACACTACAGTCTCACTATGACATCACTCAGCCTTCATTTGGTCCCTGACATCAGAAGGCAACGTTTCAAATAGCGCCTCTTCCACAATGAGCCCACTGCGCTTCAGAGCCCGGCAGTACAACAAATCCTGTGGAAGCACCTCAAAATGGTTCCCCTTTAAATCCAGATACGTCAACGCCACCAGGTACGAAACCTTAGGCGATAATATTGACAGAGAGTTCTTCCCCAGCTTCAACGTTTTGAGTTTTTTGCAAAAGAACAGTTCGTCTGGTAGATTTTCAATTTTGTTACATGTGACGGAGAAGTACTGAAGACTTTGGAGCACGCCTACTTCTGGGGGGATGAATCGGATGTCGTTGTTGGATAGATCCAGGTAGCGAAGTTTGTTGCATAGGAACAAGTGCGAAGGCAAAATTTCAATCTTGTTATGGCTGAAGTTGAGGCGTTCCAGGCTAGTAAGCTTTTTTATATGCTCTGGAATATACATGATGCTGTTGTACCATAGTTTAAGGCAGGTTAGCTTGCGCAGATGCTGAAAACTAATGATTTCCTCTATTGAGCGAAGGTTGTTTTCCTTCAAGTCCAGCTCTTGCAGGCTCGTAAGGCTGAATACGGCATGTGGAATTCGTTCCAAATCGCATCGCACAATCTCCAACTCCGTCAAGTTTGTCATTTTCTTCAAGTTGTTGAGCATGACCAACTTCGTGCCGTCATTGTGTAAATACAGTCGCAGCAAATGGCTTGAAACATCAGCAATCGACTGAGGTATTTTGGTCACATTGCTTTTTACCGAGAGGATTTTGAGACACTTCATCTCCCGTAGCGATTCCAGAACGATATTTTTGGAAGCATCCGTGCTTAAAGGTCCGGTAAGGTAAAGTTCCTCCAAGTTGCGAAGACAATACATCCAGTTCGGAAACTCTCGGCTGTCGTCGAACTTGACACGCAGCACTTTGAGGTTGTCTTTGAGAAAGGAGATAGCCGCTGTGTGCATCTTTAAAGAGCATTGGTAAAGAGACAGCTCCTGAAGATCTGCCAGTTGCGAGATTGACGCCGATACTGTGACATTGTTGATGATTTCCAGTTTGAGTGACTGCAACTCTGTCAACTCAAAAACGGTGTCAGGCAGCCCTGGTAGCATAAAGAGCTGAAGTTCTAGTCTGTTATTCGGGTTGGTTTGAAGCCGCTGTCGTAACTTCTCCGCCGTCCATTCGTGGTTCAAATTCATCTGTTTCAGTTTGTTTTCGCTTACTTCTGAGAGAAAAACTGCAAATCTTTTGGAATATAGCGGGTCATACTGGTCGATCATGTGTAGCATAAAAGCAAAGTCATTTTTAACATCTGGAATGTCACTGATCCCTGTTTCTTGGCGTACGTATTCAAAGGAGTATTCTTTTAGGGATCGGTAGAACAACCAGTAAGATGTGTAGAGACTGGTCAATCCATAGACTGCGACAAGGCACAAATAGCAATAGGATAGCTTTGAAAATAAGTGAGCCATGGTGTGATTGCACTGGAACTGCTTATATCCAGTCATATCTTGAATCTCAACTTCACAGCGAACTTTATTTTGTACTTTGTTTACCAGAGTGCTGTTGTAGCCAATAATAAGTAGAAATTTGATCACTTTAAAAACAGTTTGTCGCACGTACATGAGGTAGAGAATATCGCCTTCTTCCACATGCAAACGAAACTTCTTCACCTTCTCGAAAAGAGCTTTGGCTTGTTCGCCTTCCTTTTTGTCCAGCACGCTCGCCGAGGCCTTGTCGACGACAACCTTTTCGGGTATTGAGCGAAGGGATTGGGTTTTCTCCAGGCTGCCCTCTTCTGGAGACATGGGGATATTCGATTTGGTGATGCTGTTCTCTTTGTTCTCATTGTCTTCTGGATTTTCCCCAGAAACTTCGGACAAAGCGCGGGTCGTCCACGGTGAATCAAAACACTTCCCGAGCATGGATATAAAATGCTCTATTTTTGAGCTGGATCCGGGAAATTTGAACCAGAAATTGCTACACACCATAAATATGACCGTGTGGATGAGGACCAAATATGGGAAGTATTTGGCGTACCAGTGTAGGGCCTTTTCATAACACATTTGATTAATGAAGCTGTATTGTTGTAGGTCCAGATCAGTTTTCAGGCCTTTCATTTCTCTCAAGACAGTTGAAATATTAGACTCCAAATGTAACAGTTCCACCTCGCTCGTGTTTTCTGAACTGACTCTCCGAGGAAGGCAGATGATCTTGTCCTGCATGACCTGAAAAGAGACAGAATTTTGTTAGTATAATTTGATATCATAATTGCCAAAGGCCTAAAGAGGACATCAGATCATTATCATTATTTTTATTGCCATTGCAAGCAACGGGAAATCATAAAGTAGGAATTTGCTTTGGCTCATGATGCCAACAGGTTATAAAAAAAGTTAGTTATAGCTATAAAGGCATGCATACAAAATATTAATGTTTGCAAATCCATTCACACATGTTTGAATAATTTATACTAGTCTACACCTGAGACACAATCGCTTATCCCTGACTTCTCTAATCACTACCATCAGTACACACGCACTGTTTTTACTTTTACCAATTTTCTTTTCTGGTGTTTGATGTGACCACATTTCATTTCTTCTCAATATAGAGATTTCAAATGTACTAAGAAGACTTAGACGTCAGCGATTATCACTATAAATCAGACAGAATGACAACTGAGTGGGACTAGGCATTATGTTTCTGATTCAATATGATAATCCAACAGAAACCACGAAACCAATTGCTCATGAATCATAATAGAGTTGAGGAAGCTCAAGTATCAGAAGTAATTTACCCTTATAAGCCGCTGGGTACATAAATAATGATATCCAGATGCTGAGAACAAGCATCTACGTTTCTAAAGTGCAAGCACTTTGTTGCTGACAAAATAATAAAGCAGTTACTAAATAGTGGATGAGATGAGACAGCAGTCCGAGATATGATTTGTGTTCAGTAACAAATGCATCCCATGTGAAATAGATGGATACACTCAAAACCACTGTCTTCTGCTTTTATGCAGAACTACTTTTACCGCCTAAATATTTTTATGAAAACTAAGAAATGGTGGAAAGCATTGCTGGTCACAGAGTGGTTAGCACTCTTACTTCTCAGCAAGAAGGTCCTGATATCAAATCCCAATCAGAACACTGCCTTTCTAAGTGTAGTTAGCTCCGGTGCCACTAAACACATGTACTGGAGGTAAAATCCTCCTGCTCCGGTATAGTCCTGAGCATGCATCTGGAGATGGGTCATTGTTTGCTGCACTGTGGCAACCACTGCTCCTGACAAAGGCCCTAAGAGCATTTCCTTAGTGGTCAAATGCAGAGGATAAATGTCCCTACAGGAACAGCAAGGCACTTTATCTTATTGCTATCCCTGAATAAAAAGAAAAACCTAACAATCCACATAAAATCACATAGCACCTACTCTTCTAACCAAAATTATACATTTTTCTGAAAGGCCATATCCGGTCACTTTCCCAGGAAAACATCTATTTGAAACCACATAACTTAAAGCTGCAGCCTAAAACATTGGACAATGTAATTCAATCCGTCTCATGTCCTTGCTCTAAAAATAGTTTTTGTTATCAATTATTTTCACATGCAAGTTAGTGGCCTCTGTCACAACTTTAAACCAATCTACTCTCAGCCCCACAGAGTCAAATAGTGACCCACAGGGCTCTTTCTGTGGGATTATCGGTTCACCTTTAATAACTCTATTGTTGGGACATACATAATGCATGACTAATAGAGGGCTATTGAAGTTACTTCAGCTGCTTAATATTACAACATAAGAACGATGCCGCTTTCTCTTGTATTTATGTTACAGTTGCCAAATAACAGCTCTGTAAAGTCCAACATGCCTGAGTTTGGAGGCTGCTGTTTACTGAGGGCTGTCCCCGCCCCAGAGTTTCCATGTGTGCGCCCCGTCTCAAGGCTCTCAATGGTCTCCTTTTACCTCGCACAGGCCCGAGGTTGTAAAAGCTGGTGCCAGTGTGTCAGGGCAAAGCTGTTATGTTCCTATACTGAAACTGCAGTTAATCTCAAGCGACTCAAATGACTTTATTTTTAGTGCCAAGAGGTTAATGATGTGACACAATTATGTCGACAACCATTTTGCATTCAACAAATCCTTTCTGGTCTTGCTACGACTGCTTGGAGTGACCTGCTAACGGTTTTTCAGATATATACGTTGTTTTTGCCAAATGCATAGTCATTTGGCATTTAACACTTGAACTACCGGAATTCTGAAACGACTTGAAAACCAGTGGAATTTGATGATAAATTCCCTCAAATAATCTGTAGTTTTTCACCAGATTCGTTGAAAGAAAGCCATTTATGAATTTGTGTGCTAAGACTGGTCATTATAACTGAAATACAGCAACATAAAAAAGTTAATTCTAACTAAACAGTGTGTTGCTATGGTAATTTTATGGTAAGTAAAAGATAATTTCATAAAAAAAATTACATAGAAATAAACTATGTAAAGATACAGGGACAGCCACAAAGTTATAAAGACCAAGAAGGAGATGAGTAATTCAACTTCCAAAACTAAAAGCCGTCAAATTGACTGCTCTGGGAGTAGTGTGTTCTAGAGTTAAAATAGTCCTGCATCCAGACCATGATTTGAATCACCTCCAACCTTTATCTGAGTTGTTCAAAAGGCAATGACGCTTCTTTATTACTCGTCAAAATCTTTGCATCTTTGCAAGTTGTTGAGATATAAAACAAACTATTATCTCCAAATCCCTCTGACGCCTCCAACTGGTCCAAAACGCAGCACCCGGACTTTTGACTGGTTTTAACAGAAGGGAGCACATCACCCCTGTTTTAGCATCCCCCCACTGAGCCAGTGGGGGGATGCTCTTTTAAATAACTTCTTAAAACCCACTTTTATCAAACAGCTTTAAACTTCACGTTGTATTTGACTGTTTTACTTTGTTTTGTCGTTCTTCTTGTGTTTCCTCTTTCTGCTTTGTCTTCCTGTATCTACTGTTAATTATATTGACTTTGTGCATTATGGTGACTTTTCAGCGCTTTGTAAAAACTGTTTTTGAAAAGTGCTATACAAATAAAGATATATTATTATTATTTATTTATGTTTAGAAATTGTAATTTTATTCCTTGAACTTACGAAAGATTGTTAGCTTCACTTGTGAGTGTGTTTTTTCCGCTGGTATCATGTTATTTCATGATAATTTCCTGTTATTTCAGGATAATTTCCTGTTATTTCAGGATAATTTCATGATCGTACAAGATACGGATCATGTTATTTCATGACATACATCTATCATGTTATTTCATGATACCAATTTAATATGAAATAACAAGATACTGTAATAAGTAGAAGCTGTAGACGCCAGACCATATGCCAGGAATGCAAAATGGCTCAGGCAAAGGACCCGCTTTGCACCTTCTGCCACAGCGAGGGGTGTCAGAGGCATCGGATGCAGGAAGATCGAGTAAGTAATCAATGTGAATTTATGAACTGCTATCACCATAATTACATGCAGTATATCCGCAATGATTTATAATATTTCAGGATTGTAAACAATGAAATAAAAAGCCCCATACAGTTAATTTCAAGTTGTAACAGAGTTAACATGCACAGCTACAGCCTACTACTGTTCACGCAGTTTAGCACTATATATTAACAATCAAATTATTCCCTATTATTATTATGACTGTATTTGGTCATTATTTCTAAAACAATAGTTTAATTTAAGGCCAGCAAATACAGTTTAGCCTTTAGCTTGACCATCATGGGAAATACAGAGCTAGGCTGAGAAGCTAACACGCCAGCCTCACGGTGCTAAATATGTAATTATGGTGATCGCAGTTCAAAACTTCACATTGATTACTTACTCGATCTTCCTGCATCCACAACAAAGATGCCTCTGACACCCCTCGCTGTCGCAGAAAGGCGCAAAGCGGGTCCTTTGCCTGAACCATTCCACATTCCTGGCATAGGGTCTGGCCATAGACTGTAAATATTAAAGGTCTGGCGTCTACAGCTTCTTCTTCTGTATCTACAGTATCTTGTTATTTCAAAATAAATTGGGATCATGAAATAACGTGATAGTTTTATATAATGAAATGACATGATCCGTATCTTGCTATTTCATAATATATTGGTATAATGAAATAACATGATAGTTTTATGAAATAACTTGATATGTATCTTGTTATTTCTTAATAAATTGGTATAATGAAATAGCATGATAGTTTTATGAAATAACTTGATATTTATCTTGTTATTTCTTAATAAATTGGTATAATGAAATAACATGATATTTTTATATCATATAATAACATGATGCATATCTTGTACAAACATGAAATTACATTCAAATAACATGAAATTATCATGAAATAACATGATACCAGCGAGAAAAAAAAACACTCACAAGTGAACCTAACACGCTTCTGTATGAACTCTACTTTTTCTTATGTGAGACAATCCATGAGAATCCATTTTTTTTCTGGAAAGCTAATGAGAAACTAATCTTGAAAACTAGCTTCTGAGTTGATAAGAGAAGCCAAAGTTTTGAAGCATTTTAAATTGGTCTGTGATGTCTTAATGAGAAGCACTGGGTTCAAAGGTTTGAGCAGCTCTGCATGTGCCATGTGTGGGAAAACTGCAGACTTTGAAGTTAACATGTGCAGCATAAATGAAAGTATTTGGAGAAGTTATTTTTACTGGCTCGCTTGAAGTGAATGCACAGAGGGGAGAAGCACAGCTGACATAATTATTGACCCCACTGCAGCTGCTCTGCCAAATGTGAAAGCTAGAGATGTTCTACTTGCTTCTTTATTATGCTAAAGCTAGATGTTATACTTGCTTTTTTATTATACTAAAGTTAGAGATTGTATTTCACTTTAGTATAGAGTTATTGTTAACTTATCTTGTGCTGTGTGCCCCTCATTCCTACAGTTCTGTAACTGGTGATGCAACACTGAAATTTCCCCTCTGTGGAACGAAAAAAGGATCTCTTAATCTTACTATTTTAGCATCGTATACTATCAATGAATTGTAAACTGCTGGTCACATATATTTACTGAGAGATAAGATAACAGAACCTTTAATTATCCCAGAGCGGGGAAATTTCAGTGTTGCAGCGCACTGTATACAGATAAGAGCAGTAGGTAAGAGAACACAAAGTATACATAGGGAAGTAGCTGTAAATGCCTCTAAACTTTGAAAAACTAGGGTTAGGGTTAGACTCAAAGAGGATATTAATCACGTTAAAGCTAATTAGAAAATGTATCTTGTTTTAAATGAGTAAAAAACAATCTGGTTTTAAGAAACAGGTGTTTTAGGATGACTACATTAACGATTGAGTAAGATTGATTCATCGATTAGTTGTTTAGAGATCAACTAAACCAAACGTATAGTCACTCAATTAATCGATTATCAAAATAATTGTTGGTGACTTTTATACATTATTGATGCATTTGGGGAAATCGTTCCTCAAAGTTAACACTTGTGGTAAATAGACACTAAACATAAAGATAATAATTGCCTGAAATGTCAGAGGGGCATGTTATAACTGATCCACGCTGCAGCGATGGCCTTTGTAGCTCCCGTCAACGGCAAAGATCTACTGCAGCTTCCATCAAAGACGACAGGACTGGTTTTGCAGCTGGAGTCTACAGTAGAATATGAACATGTTTCGCCTGCAGTGAGTCTGACTTATGAATGTCACTTCTTTCCCATCTCTGAAAACTGCTCCAGGTAAAGGCAGCATAATTCCAGTGCAAGTTGTATAAGAGTTGTGTTTAACATGAATTAGATTTGTGACATGATTAGGTTTAGCCCAATAGACCGTTAGAACAGAGAGATGGTTACTGGATGTCTCTTTAAACCTGTATACTATGCTCAAACCTGACGACTTTTAAAAAACTGTTGAAAAAATAACTGAAATATTATCAGTAATATGTATTAATGACTAAGAAGTTAAAAAGACTTAAAAAATATATACTTTGTACCATTTATAGAAAAATAAATATGTACTTAAAAAATATACCTTTTTAAGCTTTGTATGTGTGATTCAAACCATGTACTGTATACTGTATGTCTGAGAAAATATGTGTAATTCAAAAATGAATTATCTATTACATTTTGAACTGTAGTTTAAAATCATTAACTAACTAAAGTATACATTAACCGTAGCCTTTTCTAGACATTGATATTGTTCTGTCACCTGCAGGGTACAGCCGAACACCCCGATCATGAGCATGATGACAGACAGGTAGTCCGTGAACACGTCCCACCACGGCTTCAGCACACGGAACGCCGGCTGCTGCTCCGAGAACTGACGAAACTCCATCACCGGAATCATGGTGGCTGCACACACACACACACACACACACACACACACACACATACACTGCAGTCAATAACAGGGCATCATATTTCAACATTTCAATAACGTATCGCAGCTAAAGATACATGAACATTAACTCTATACTAAGTACGTAATGTTTATTTATATAGCGCATTTTTACAGTCCAAGGTCACCCAAAGCGCTTTACAATGTTCAGAGTTGAAGATGGCTAAGATGATAAATACGGTGTTGTCTGTATTGTATTTGTGTTATTTTGTATTTCATTGTATTGTATGTTGTCATTTACTATGTATTTTCCTGCCTAGGGACTACGGATGAAAACTATCTTGGTAGCTATAATCCGGCATATTTACATTTGTTTTATACTGATGGTTATTAATGTGCATTGTCCCAATCAAATAATAACAACAAAATAATAAAAAATAATAAAAACTTTAGCCTAAAAAAGAAGCAAAAGAAGAAGTACAAAATGTCTATCTTTGGTATAACAAAAAAGCAAATCTAAAATCTCTAACTTTAGCATAATGAAGAAGCAAGAATAAAATCTCAATCTTTAGAAAAACAAGTATAAATGTAACTGAGATTATCAATACGAATAACATGATCATAGACGTGAACTCTTATTTGTATACAGATTTTCGAGCGGTCGCTGCTGTGTTATTTACCTTGACATTCTGCTCCACATTGGCAACAGGAAGAGAGCGTTTACTGATGTTTATGGAGCAGTCTGCTAATGCTTAAGGGTCGCAGCTCCGTCTAAAAGCTGTTTTATGAGGAAATACAGTATGCATTGGAGATCTATACTTCTGCAGAAATGGAGATGCCGCAGGACTGCAGACAAACTGGGCAGAAGATTGGCACTTTAGATTAGACAGAAGTGTTTTTGATTGGCGTAAAGTAAACATTTATCAGGCTTCTCCCTTGTAGTACTAGAGATTCATAGAGGACAAGATGAATGAGGTAGAATTTCATCAATAAAACAAAGTAATGTATGTGATTGTTATGTGTGTTGTTGTTCTTTTAGACCTTTTGTTTCATTAGCTATGGATCCTGTGCTTGAGTCCTTGATAATATAATTAAAAAAATAAAAACTTGACCGAATGAAGTCTAAAAAATAAAAGTGTAGTGTAAGGGATTTCAAGGCTTGTCTTAAAGGTATATAGGAGGATTTTCTGAGTGGATCATCAAGACTATTGGTCCCAATTGTCAATCATTCTGGTGATACCTGCTCGTCAAATAAGACCAGAGAGTTTGGTTCAAAAAATATCGTAACATTTGGGAAAATTCTCCTGTATACCTTTAAGAAAGATCTGACTGAGACTGCATTTATTATATTTTAATTATGGTTCATGTTTCTGTCTTTCTGTATTGTTTGCAATTTTATTATCTCTAACCCTAACCCTAACCCTGTTATTTTTTATTTGCATGTTTTTGTACAGCATACTTCAAAGCCAAAAGTTTGGAAATAATTAACGAGGACTGAAAAAATCAGCACAGCTATTTCCACTTTTTATTGTACATAATTATACCCTGCACAGACTCTATTTTTAAATGTACAACGTTGCACACTTCTGTCTTTTGCACAATCTGAGTGATTCTATCAATGCCAAATGTGACACGTAAAGTTCTCCATTGGGAGATGAATAAATTTTATCTTATCTTATTTTATTTTAGTGAAAGATCAAGGCCCCTGTGGACTCACCACCTGCAGGAGGATCAGTGAGGGGCTGGTGCTCTGTGTACTGGGTGCAGCTCTGACTGCCACCCCCTGATCCAGAAATGGATTAAGGGGAAGAAAATGGATGGATGGATGGATGGATTGTTTTTATGGTTTATTGTTTATTAGGTTAGGGCCGTGGATGTTAATGAACACACCTCTGCCTCTGCCTCCCCTCTGTTTTCAGTAGGGAAACTGTAGCGCCTGGCGGAAACCATACTAGACGGTCTGGAATCAACCTCAGGGGCCTCTAGCTCGGAGTGCTAACCACTGCTGGACCACATTGACCAGACTAGTTGTCACATAGGGGTCCAGATTGTATCAATGTAAGAAATAGTTTGATTCTCGAATCTGTTGGTGGCGAATTGACTATTTTGCAAAGTCCTCCATGCTGACTGCTGTTGTGATTCAGGGCCTTTCAAAAAATACATTGAATTGAATCGAATGAAAGTCTTCAAACTAGTGAAGCCATAAAATACCTCTGTTGTGGTTCTCTATGCAGCTAAAATCTAGGACAGTCTTCTTGAAAATGTGAGACAGGCTTCTACTCAATGTGACTCAAAATTCTACCTCATTCATCTTGACAAAACCGCGTGAGTTGTGTGGTCCTATTTCTATCTTTATTTTGTTTTATTTGTTTTATTGTTTTTATTTATTTATTTATTCTTTTTAAATCGGATAACTAGTATTTTATTGTTTTTATCACATGTTTATAGTTTACTGGTATTTTATTGTTTTTATTAAATTTGTATTGTTTTTACTTTGCGCATATTTAAATGTGTTGATTTTATCTCTGTGCAACACTTTGGAAACTTGTTTTATAAAATGTGCTATATAAATAAAGTGGATTGGATTGGATTGAAAAACACACTCATTTAGGTTAATAAAAGCTGTTTTCTACATGTTTCTGAATGTTCCTGTGTCCCTCCTGTAGATTGTGTCTTTTTGAGTCACTATATATACTTGAAGCTTGGAATTGAAATCTACTTCTATCACTTAGTTTTAGGCACTTTTACCATAAAACTGCATGTTAAACATGTAGTAAAGGTCTAGATAGAATCAGAAAAAACTAGAGATAAAAAAAAAACATACAATTTGTGTAATTAGTTCTCCTACTATAAAAAAAAGAAAACAATTACATGCTTTATTCAAGGAGTAAACATTAAAGGGTTAAGAATGGCAACTTTTTTTTACCCAAGGTTCTCTTATCTTATCTTTAACTCGGAATAATATTACTTTGAATCCCATGCCTTCTACTGTTTTGTGGGAACTGGAATCCCTACATAGACATCCCAAACTGAAATGACTCCTCTCTTATTGTCCAGAGAGACTATTAGCAAAGGTCCAGCATTTCCTCTGGATGAGTCAGCCATTGAGGAGCTGACCGGGCCGTATCCTTGGCTCTTCCTGACAGGAAATTTGCCTGAATCCCCGATTTCCAAAAACAGAATAGTTTGGAACACACCCAGACTTGAGGAGACACAAGTCTTGTCTCAGCTCTGTGAAGTCACCAAGTGGAAAAGAACAGACCGCAGTGCAGGGAATAAAGACAATATACGCGCTCCCCAATTTTGGCACATGAGATTATTTTACATGAAAGTAGTGGGTGACAGCTTTACGTGTATCCATCAAACTAATAAAGTAAAGTGACATACAAGTAAACCATGTTTTTTACGTTTGAGAGACAATGGGGAGCGCTGGCACCTCAAACCAGGTGGACTCACAACTCAAAACATTCCAATAGAAGTCGGACCATCACATCCACACGCGTCTATCTCGTTTAGAATCCACACTCAAAAACACGACGTGCTTAAACTTACCTGTTTTTTAGGAAAGACGTATATACCGGGTCTATGTAGAGTTGGCGGTTCGCGCGCCTAACGGTGTCCGCTTTCAGGCGGGGGCGTGCTGTTTGTGGGGATGAAGCAGGAGGCTGAGAATGTTGTTTGTGGAGGAGGGCAGAGCAGAGGAGAGACCAGAGTGTGGTGGGTAGATTATGGGCAGGGGCGGGCCAATAGAAAGTATGCAATATGGCAGAAGCCTTGTGGAGGAACAACAGCTCTACTCCGAGCTCTCCCGCCTTAGCTTGTGACTGGCCCAGCACAATCCAATCTGTATTTCTATGTGACATTTTGTATAACTAGTTTCTGCAGTGCTGCACTGTGTCTCGGTGCAGATATGTATTTTTATATACATTTAAAAATGACACGTGACACATGTATTAAATAAAGCAGCGTGGTTTTCAACAGGCTAAAGTTATTCATGCCATTGTGTTCTCTGTAAGCAATGTATATGTTTAATAGTTAGTTTAGTCTTAATATAATTACTCTGGCTGAGGCCAGGCTATAATTACTCCCGTTCGGTTTTCAGTCTGATTTTCTCCGTCAAGCACATAGACTGTAACACGAGGCTCATGCGCAGATGATGCGTTCACTTCCCTCTGTTTACGTCCGTGTTGCGTTCAAAGACAACTCGTTGACCTTGTGGCGAGAAAGTCCCATTTTATCGTGCGTCCATTAATGCGTTTGCTTCTTTCAAAAAACTCATCATTGACAGTGTTTGTTGAAAATATATTTTAGTGCCTTACCGAACGTATTTTGTTTGCTTTTATTCTCTTTTTTATGTTACACTTGTTTTTATTTCTCCAGAATGTATACCTGCTACATTTTATAATTCTTATAAGATAAAAAATTATTATGTCCATCCATCCATCCATTTTCTACCCCTTAATCCATTTCTGGGTCGGGGGGGGTGGCAGTCAGAGATGCCACCCAAGTCTCATAGCACCAGCCCCTCACTGATCCTCTGCAGGTGGTGAGTCCACAGGAGGAAAATTATTATGTGTTTATCTTAATCATACATTTTACTCTTTATTTTGATATATGCCATTGATCCATTGTGTCGCCACATGCAGACCTACTGTAGATCCTGTCAGACTCCTGAAGCCAAGCGGGGCAGGCCGGGCTCAGGAACACCAAGTGCCACAGTGGGTCGGCTGCAGCTGTAAAATGCCTAATTGTTGTTGTGTCTTTAGGCAAGACACTTCCCTCACATAGCCTAGAATGAGTCTTTGTGTGACTCATGTGTGTGTGAATGGTTGGTGGTTGTCGGAGGGGCCAATACCATACTGATTGCCTTGCTTCTGTCAGTGCAATGTCTTTGAGTGTCCAAAGAGCACTACATAAAACCAATGTATCATTAGTCTATGAACATGCCTTCATCTCAATCATGACATTAGCATAATTATGGTTCTGTAGGTAAGACG